CATGCGGGTCTCTTTCAATCCATCATCTCTGCTGCTCTTGGGATCATGTTTCTCAAGATATCCATCAGTTTGAATCTGCTTCGACTTGGGGCTAAGAAATGGTACAAATGGGGTCTATGGTTCATCATTGGTACGGGCTCACTATTCATTCACGATTACATGCTGACTTTCGTAGTCTTCACATTCATCCAGTCAGGTAGCGGCGTTTTCACCTTCACATTCTACTGCCAGCCGACAGCTCGCTTCTGGGACAAGACCGTCACGGGTACATGTTGGCCGATCAAAGTTTTTGTAGGATTGGGAATCATGAACACAGGTCAGTTCAGCTCGATCTTCTTCGGATTTGGGTAGCACTTGTTAACATGATGTACAGCCCTCAATATCTTTACCGACGTTGTTCTGGCTACACTGCCAATTCCTTTGATTTGGAACCTCCAGATGAAACGAAAGGTGCGCCTGTATGTCATCGGCATTCTAAGTCTCGGATACTTGTAAGTTAATGGTTCAATAAAATGGAAATGCGTGTTCTAATTCTGTTACTCAGTGCCGTCGCCATGGGCATCGTCAAAGCAATTTATCAAATTGGCTTTGGTGCAAATCCGGACAAGACTTTCGAGCAGTCGATTCAATTTTGGGGATTGTAGGCATCCCATGCCCGCTTATTTCAGATTCCATGAACTTCACTGACAGTTCCTAGCCTTCAATTACAGCTGGGGATCATCGCTGCGTGTGCCCCAACATTCAAACCCCTCGTTGGCCGAATGCTCCGCCTGACCTCATACGACGACTACACAAACGAAACACCCAACAACGGGTCCAAGAAGCATCCGACTCTGGCAACGATTGGAGGAACTGGTGGAACAGGAAATCGTCGTCATACAATGCGCAGTGGGGGAGCGCACGGAGTGAGAGATCAATATGAACTCGATGATATGGCTTCAGCGGACAGCGATCAAAGCTTGAGCAACGTCAAGGGTGCGACAACGACCACAGCGACGTTCTACAAACATGACAATGGTGACGGATCGGGAAGCGAGGAGAGAATACTGCATGGGGGCCGAAAGGAAAGTGCCAGGGGTATTATGAAGACTACGGAAGTCACCGTGAAATAGATCGGACGATGGGAAAACGGACGCCAAGATTGATCCTCTCACTGTTGGCCCATTGCGTTTCCACTTTACTAAGACTTCAGTGCGAAAACTTTTCTTGACATGCTCGAAAGGCGGTTGGCCATCGAAATGCAGCTACAAGGGAGGTGCTTGAAGCAGGTGTTGGAAGGTAACGGGCGGATTAAATTTGACGGGAAACGGGCAGTGTCCAAGCCCGGCTCGCCACAAAGCGATTTCATTCACTATCATCCCTGTGAGACGCAGTAGTTCGCAAAGATCCTCCAAATTGATGCGCGGAGTCGACGGGATGACTTTGCTCTCGTTGGCCCGGATCCGATCCTGCGCTCCTGCGTCGACCGGGGGCGGCCGCTACGACCGGGATCTCTGGCCGGGACCCCGGACGGGACGCACAAACACCGGTGGAGCTGGATCCAGCCTCAATGCAACCTTATGTTGGTTCGAAATGCGATCCTGATGGAGCGACTACTCCGTCCCTTGCCCCAGCTTCGTCGGCAGGATACTTTGAATGGCAGGTGGATTGTGGTCCGAGGGAGGCGAGGGCGCAAATCCATCAGGGCTCGGCGGGTGGGGGCAGCTCATTTGATCACTTGGAGTGTGCAATGGCTTTGCCTTCGCAGTTCCTGAGACGATGGGAAGTTATGACTTCATGGATGATCAAAAACAGGCTTCTTCAATTATTGCAAATACGGTGGAATTACGTCTATAGCGATTACTAATACTATTTTGATGCGCGATCCAAGGCAATGGCGACCCGTCAGAACTCTGCCAACAGCTTAGGCAGCACGTATTGGTTGTTCGTCTCCCAAAGGATGGTGGTGAACTGAGCAGACCAGGCACCGCCAGTGAAGTAGGTACTCTTGCGGCCCTGGAGCGTGTAAAGCTGGGTGATGGCACCGGCCTTGAGATCGTCCCTCTCAAAGTGAAGTTGCATAGCGCCGTGATCGGCCCAGGCCTTGATCTGAATAGTGTCATTGCCAAGGCTTGGGACGGTCCCAGCAGCGGCGAGCTGCTTCAGTGACCTCTTGACCAGCTTCTGTGCCTCACAGCTGTTGTAGTTCTTGTCACCACCAACTAGGACACGGTAGTTGTTGTCTCCAAGGTAGTCAAACCGACCGACAAAAGGAAGCTCCGGGAGCGAGAGCCATCTAGAGGGCGCAGTGTTGGTGTAAGAGAAAAGCTTGGGAATGGCCGGGTGGGAGACGATGCCAGCGTAAACAATGGACCAGTTCCATTTTTCGAAGACAGAGGTCTCTTCCTCGTCAATATCGAGACCCTGCATGTTATGAAGGGTAGGCTCGAAAGAAATAAGAAGCTTCTTCGCGCGGATGAGAGTGCGCGTGTTATCAGCGCTCTTGACGAGGACCTCGACGCCATCGTCGGAACGGGCAGTCTTGATGGCTGTGGAAGAGTACATGACGTCGTCTCCAAGCAGCTCGGCGATCGCGTCGTAGATGTCTTGGTTTCTCTTGGATGCGGGCACGAAGGAACCCACAACTCCCAAGAAAGAACGGGTGATCGGCGCGCCAAAGGTCTGCATGACGTACAGCGTGGACTGGTGTGCGAAGTCGTCCATGCCAAGTCCAGTGACCTGGAAGATACGAGGGACAGCAGCCTCGATGTCGTACTTCTTGACAAAGTCGATGAAGGGCATGGTGAGGTCCTCTGGAATTCCCTCGGTAACATTGGGGAACTTGGCGTAGGAAGGGAGGATGTTCTCCTCATACTTCTCGCAGAGCTCAAGGTAGGTCCTCAGCGCAGCGGTGATGTCGGCGGAGGCAGGCAACGAGTAGTTGGTCAACTTGCCTGTCGTGAAGTCGGCGTATGTGGTAGTGAGGGACAATCGTGCAGGAGTCATGACTGGGACATTGAGGCGTGCGACAAACTCGCGTGCGCCAGTGTAATCGGTGTAAGAGTTCACTCCATAGTCGTAATTGTTGCCCGTTTTCGGGTCGGTAAATGTCGCAACATGGCCACCCTAAGCCGATTGTGTAAATGATATGTCGTGGTTCATAATTCTGGAATTCTGACTTACGATGCGATTTTGCTTCTCGACAACAACGATCGTCTTGTTGTAGTCCTCGCGGAGCCTGACAGCGGCGTGAGAGCCGGACGCGCCTCCGCCGAGAATGACGATGTCTCTGTGGATGATTTTTGTGGCAGCACTGTCGGGAATCGCAACCGCAGTCGCAAGGGACAGGGCGCTGAAGAAGGCAGCGATACGCGCAGCCATATTGGAACAAGGTTGAAAGAATGAACGGCTGTCAATATGAAACTTGACGGTTGGCGGTCGCAGGTCTCTTCCAGTCAATTGGCAAGTTGGATGAGAGCGATAAAGAACCAACAGAGAAAGTCAACCATGGTGCGGCAGCATGGAACTATTTATGCGGGCTCCTCTGGGTTTCTTCAGGATCCGTAGCTTTGCATTGGATACGGTCGCATTGGAGCAATCCAATATTGCTCGCCGAGAATGTCATTGCCCCTGCAGAACGTCGGCTGCGAGCTGTTGTAACCGCATGTTTGCCAACATTGACCATGCCCATTGGAACGATTAGCTGCAGCTTACAGAGCAAAGGACGAGGATCAAATGTGGCACCCTTGTCTTGCCGGCTGCCGTCGTGTCAACCCTGTTGATTTGTCTGTTGACATCCCGCCGAAGCCCGAGCCATTGGTTGTGCCAAGTATGGCAATACCACGCAGCTCCAAGAAGGCAAAATAGTCAAGTTAGCAAGAGGAATCCGGAGTGAGAAACCAGTGAACGTCCAACCTCCCAGTGTCTCATAACACAAGCACCAAGTCAAGATAGCACGGCGAGCTGTCCGCAGGCCTGCGGTGCTATTGCGCCGGGAGGTATCCGAAGGATCACAGCCCTGGTCGAGCCATGTGGGGATGGTGTCTGGCGCTGCATGGCGCCCAGGGTTCCGAACACCAGGGCCACGGAGAGCAAGTGCGCTTTGCTCGAATGCGCCCAGGGAGAAGGCTGGCATTATCCAGTGATTGATCGCGACCTAGAACGTTCTTCAAGCTGGCGTATCCAGGCGAGCCAATCTTAAAGGTTCATGGGGGAAATCGTGCCAATTGACCTTGTCTCCCACCGCATGACTGCCATGGATTCTCGTCTAGGGTCATCATGTCTCATTGAGCCTCGTGAACCAAAAGCTGTCAGATCAGCAAATGTGATATTCAGGCCAGATGTGCAATGTTGAAGTAAAGCACGTCGATCAACAACAATAATGTATATTCAATCATTTCACATCCGTCAGGTTTCTCAGAGACCAGTCGAGGACGCAGCCTGCAAAAGATTTCTGTTGTTGCAACTCATGGATTGATCGAGTTCCACCCAGTCAGCAAGAGGACAAGATGTCTTGCACCAGATTCTCCAGTTTTGCAATATGTCAACATCGATAGAAGGATGCCGGCTCCGCCACGTGGACTGGGCCTCATGCATTCCTCATAGTAACTGGAGCGAGGTTTGCCACGAGCAAATGCAGACATCCTAGTCCCAACAAACCAATGATGCTTCGCCGACAGCGATGGACAAGGTCTAGACTAGATCCTGCGCCGCCTGGCGCAATTCCGTACAACTTTGCTTCTGTTGGAGTGTGAAAAGAGCCAGAATTGGTGCCCCAACGTTTGGTTGTGCTCGAAGATTTGCGTCAACGCCTGCTCTTGGCTGCGATGTCAACCGCCACATAATTCGCTGCAATTCGGCTAACAGTTTCTGGGACCATCTTTGCCCTGATGTGTGCATGAAATGAGGGCAACAAATGTCATGCTACCCAAGCTTTCTGCATGACTGACTGACACTGGAGATTTCTTGACTGAGATCTCCTATGGGCTCTCATTTCTGTATTATAATTACGAGCCATCTCACTACACACAGAACCCAAAGACACTATCATCTATGACACCCAAGTTTGCATCTTCGAAAAGCAGGTTGGTGCTGGCTGATGGATCCCACAAGTCTGTAACCCCGTGCCACGAGGCCACCCCCTCGGCTCCGTGAAACGAACCAAATAAAGAGTTGAAGTCCGCTTGGAGGTCTGAATTCGTCAGTAACATTGAATAGTGTAGCGAGAATTTCAAAGTGACGTACCCGGTAATTGCTGGTTGTTGCCACTCGTATCCTCCGGTTCATTATCCTGCGCGATCCCTTCTAACCGACGCATGAGCGACTTCAGTAATTTCAGGGGCCGTTTCAAGCCGTCGTTACATCCTCTCTGATACTCAAGTAAAGCAAGCCAAAAGAAGCGGATGCATTTGATATGCTCCTCAGAATCATGGCTAGCCTGCTGCAGTATGACTACAACCGCACAGTAGCTTGCATATGATATGCCATACTGAGCGCGACGGAGAGTGAAAGTCTGCTTATAAACCTCAACAAGCTTCCAAATACGAAAATCGGCGTTGAGGCATCTCTCTTCAGCCTCTCTTTTTGATTCGGTGTCCAAAGTGAACGTGAAGTGGCCACGATTAAGGAATGCCTGCTCAGTCAGGATGATCAAGGTCCAAAATATGGCACTTGTTGTGTCAGCGAAAATGGAGTGGATTCACGCAAAGGATAACTTACTAGGGTGTGATCTGATGTGGTGGCGGAGTGGCATAAACCCCTGGTTCGAATTGAAGCCATCCTGGGAGTTCCGCTTTCCACGTCAACAGCTGTTCCCTGAGCCTGTCTCGCTCCTCTAGCAAAGTCTCTTCAGAGGCCTCTGCACTGGTTGTTGAGTAGAATGCTCGGATGACTCGGCCCATGATGTCGCATAGCCGAATAAGGCTTTGGAAGGTGCTGAGGGCATATGAAGGCCGCGGTTGGTATGATGATACGCGCATACCCAAGGGCTCAATCAAAGGATCGTTGTATGGCTTCCACTCTTCAAGCTCTTCATAAGAGTCAAAATACTCTCTAGAGACGGTTCCATGTACTTCAGGCATAGTGGGAGACCTCCCTAAGAAGAGGGACTGGAGCATGTCTCCTACGTAGGCCCCCGAATAGACTCTCTTCCGAAGCTCCAGATCAATAGCCGAGGCGCGGTAGTTTGAACTGTCGAGGGCGACTGTCTGAACATCAAAATGACAACCAATGTCGGTAAGCATCCTATATCCAATACCACAGAAGATCCAGCCGGCACTTTGCATGCCACGAGGCACCAAGCACGCAACACATGTCAACAGAGCCACAACAGTAGGTATTGTGGGTTTGTCAACATAGTCGGCGAGCAAAACCTTGAAACGGTTGTAATATGCCATTCCTCTGCTCTGTGGATCTGCGGAGTCCATCCGAAGGCAAGTGCGGTCACTATACAGACTGCTCTGCAGGTATATCGCATTCAGCAAAAGTTTGTTGGAGTAAGGACCGTTTCTGACGAGACTGTCCATGACCGCCGGCCGATATGTCAGAAGATACGACAGGTGTTGCCGGTTCCAGTGTAAATCGAGTAAGTGTATCGCGGTGTCTGCTGGGACCCCGTCGAAGTCAATGTTGGCTATGATGCTTGGTGATGATTGAAGCATCAGCTCTTCTTGCCTTCTTATAGCAGCGTTCGATATGAGCCGGTCTTTTATGGCCTCTTTACACACCAGGGGATTATTGACGAGTGCTGATCTTGATGTATGGTCATGCAATAGACTTGTAGCTCCGTAGACCTGAACTCCATCGGCTTCCCGAGTATTGTCTTGGTCATCTTGGGTATGTCGTGCCGGTGTCTCATTAGTAGGCGCCGGATTTTGTGCGTAGAGTATATCTTCGGTGACATTTGCGGTAGAGCCAGGGTTCTTCTATGCGGGAATGGGGTTCTACTAGGTGTGGATGATCTGTCGTCGAAAATGAGATATGTAGTTCCGTACTGCGCCGACGTAGTCAACTCTTCTTCTTGAACCGTTTCAATGCCCGAATTGTTACGCCGTTCGAGGGTACAAGATTCGTTCTGACCGGTTGCTGTCTGGGATGCAGTATTGCTTGGCGCGTCTACAACTTGCCTCCTAAGATCTTCGATTTGTTTCTGCAGGGACTTGACATCTTCCCTTCTTGTCTGGCCCGCTGTCTTTCTGGCGTCTTTTGGGTAGTCGCAGGCCAAGTTTCTCGTTCGGCATGTGCCACATAGAGGACGTTGACCGTCGCATTTCACCTTTCTTCTCCGGCAGTTACTGCAGGTGTGGCAGATGCCAGCATTGGTTTTGGCCCGAGTTCCGTGTCTTCTGGACGATAACGGAGAATCCCGAGCATCTGTCGAGGATGACATCGTGTCAGACCGAGAAGACTCCGGAAGAGGTTACTTGGCCAGACGCAGTCTCTGGAGAACGAAAAAGCCGAGCACTGTCTTTGTCGGAGTCCTTTCAATTGGATTAGCGAGTTTTCGGTGATGCTGCGATGAGGAGAGATCCGAACATGGAGTGTGCTGCGATGGGAGAAAGGAGCTTTACCTCGGATGTTTGATGTCCCAATCGGACTTTGAAGCAACCGGGCCCCACTTTCTCGTTGGAACCGACTACGAACTTGGCTGACATACTGCGGAATACTTGAATCTCCAATTTACGATCATATGTAAAATTGTCAACAAACTTTGACTTACTTGTCATTAGAATTTTGTTCTGGCTTAGGACGATATACGATTTGGAAATCCGGAGCTCGTCGGTAAGTTGCGCCTTGCTCGACACTATCCAGTCATCATTCTAAACCAGCAACTAGGCTCAAGTTACTCAACAATGAAAACCATTGGCATCGTGGGCGGTATTGCTTGGCCCAGCACTTTGGTTTACTACAAAGAAATTCACGAATACTTCAAAACACAGAGTGGAAGCGACGACCTTCACACCCCAAAACTTGTCGTCGCGCAAACGGACTTCGCCCTCATCGAAAAGGCCCAGGCGGAGGGACATTGGGATGAGGTCGGAAGGCTTCTTGCCGCTGAGGCAAATAAGCTCAAGGCGGCTGGGGCCGACTTCTTTCTTTTGGCATGCAACACGGTTCACACCGCCGACGACTTCACCATCAAAAACGTCGACCTGCCATTAGTCCATATTGTTGATGCCGCCGCTGAGACGGTCATCGGGATGGGTTGCAAGACCGTGGGCTTGCTTGGTAGCCGTTACACGATGCGAGGCACCTACTTCGTTGGACGTCTGAAAGACAAGTATGGATTGCAGGTGTTGGTGGCTGAAGGAGATCATGAAGAGAATGTACGCCACGCTCTCTACAACGAACTTGCCAAAAACATCTTCTTGGAGAAAACTAGATTCAAATTCCAGGCGGCTATTGAAGACCTAATAGCTAGAGGGGCTGAGGCTATCATTCTCGGATGTACGGAGTCCGGAATTATGGTGAAGGAACAGCATAGCTCCGTGCCAATTATCGACACTAGCATTGTACATGCTCGAGCTGCAGTGGACTTCGCTCTTGAAGTTTGAAATTGTAAAACCTTTCACAAAAGCAATATAGATAAAGATAGATATCCTACGTTACCTAAGAGACAGCTTTTCTCCGCGAACAAGGGTGCTGAGGGGATCTTCAGTGTAATTGATTTACGCTCCAAGCCTTTGAGATACATCGAACATGCGTAGTTTGAAGGCTCGATTATCACAATGCATCGATGCGTTTCACGTAAACGACTTTGTAGCCACCTGAATCCTCGGAAATGCAAAAGAATATTCAGATCACTTGGTCAGTTCCGAAGAATGAATGTCTCAGTTCTTGAAGAAAGGAAGAGAGTATTCGCAAGCTAGGACTGCACCAGTCGATAATCTATTTACACCCGTTCAACTCTCCTAGGCAGTCCCGGATAGATGTCCTTTCCATGCCCTGATACAGCTTGAAACTGTCAAATACTTGGCAACCGAGACTTTTCTCGAAAGCTTCTTGGTCTTCTAAAGAGACAGCGCTTGCTTTGAAGGTACCTGCGCCGATATTGGAATGGAAGATTCCTGCTGCACTCACAGGGAGAAAGTCTTCATAAGTGATAGGGTCATACCCCAAGACTCCAGACTTCACCAAAGCATCAATATCATCCAAATGAAACGTCCTAGAATGGCGCTTTTCGATGACATGGTAAGTGAAGTATGCGAGCTGTTGTTGACGCAGGACGTGTAGATCGTCAGGAAAGTCCTGGAAAGTCTTCATCAAGACAGCCTCTTTTGAAGATCCTTGCTCTTGTTCGCGTATGAATTTGCCATACAAATCATCGTATAAGCGCCGACCTTTGGGAGTCAGAGCAATACCTCGCTGTTCTATCTCCCCGAATCGCGCTTTATGTCTACCACCTTTCTCGGACCCACTGGAAAATGCGATCTCCTCCTCGAGAGCGAGGAAGCTGGTCTGCCTGAGGAGGATCGGGAACTGCCTGGATGGTGGTCCCTCTATCCTGTCTTTTGCCTGCAGTCCGTGCTCGTGCATTTTAAGTTGGGCGGCCTCGATGTCCAAAACCCGAGGCGTAAGATGATTGATGTGAGGTCCTCTGAAGCACACCACATCTGCGATCAAGGGATGAGCTTCTTGAAGACGCCTGTACGTCTGTACATCGACCGTTGAGGTCTTATGCCACCGAAAAGTCTCGAGAGCCTCAATGATGAGCTCGTCTGCTTTTGCCTTGGGCACTGACGTGAGGGCCTCCAACTCTTCAATAAGCTGGATGCATCGAGGCGTGAAGATTTTCCGATCACTTAGGACCCTCTCCGCGCACGAGCGCAAGTCGTCATCGTTGATGAGATCCAGCCTCAGCAGAGAGGTGAAGATGCGAAAGGGGTTATGGGCGAGTGCGTGACTGGTAAGAGGCCGGAAACAAGTTGCGTGGACAGGAAGACCAGCAACTGAGAGATCGTAATAGCCGACCGCATACATGCCCATGATTGAAAAAAGTCGTCGGATCATTTGAAGCTCAGAGGCGGTGCCAAGACGTATTGCTCCGTGTCTCTCAACCTCTAGACGATGTTGCGTGTTGTTTGAAGCGTTCTGATCTTGCTGGCGATTGATTTTCGACACAATGTTTATGAGAGAGCCGTATTGAGGAACCTCTGCCCGGTACATTTCAGACAATGCAGTCGAAAACAGCGCCCTGATCTCGTCAGGGGAGACTTGAACATCATTGGTGGAAGTGTCCATTCTGTTGATGACTCGCGACGGAGTCGTTTGGGTGTAATGCGCGAAAAGCAGAAATGGCAAGGACCGTAAACTGTGACAGCAGGAACCTCGGCCTGAATGTTTTGTGAAAAAGGGTGTATTTCTTTTGATAAGGTATGAAATCAGTCAAGTCAAAAATATCTGCCATGTGCGAGCAGAGAAATATGCTCCGCCGGACATGCTTGGGCGTGCATGTCCGAACTTGTACCCACCACGGACATTTAAGTCCGCTACCTTCGGTCATTGAGAATGTCGCACCAGATGGTCAGGCCCAACCCCCCGAGAGAAGATCTTGCATGGATAATAATTCTAGTCTCAACTGACACATTTTGTATCTGGCTAAGCTCCTTGTACCCGCCTTGGCGACGGTCTTATATCTACAAGTCAAGAAGTACCGGTGGAGACCGCATCAAAGGTTGTATGGAAGCGTTTGACATGAATGGCAACTCCATGGGCTGTACCAGACTCCATAAAGGAAGTTTCCCAATTTGTTTGTATGGACTATCTCGCCAGATGTTGCCCAAACATCGGCCACATCTAGTTCATCATGATACTGCGTGCCAGGTACTAGTAATCATCTAGACGATGTACAGTCTTGAAACATGATGTGTTACCCATGTGATCATTCTGGAGACATACTCCATCCACCATTTCATTTAGCAAGTAAACTTAGCAGGCCCTGGGATCGTGTAGGACGTGACGGGCGGGTAATAGATGTTGATGGTGATGCCGGGGTCAGTTCCCTTAGTACGGCGTCAGAATTCGATTTCATGAACTCAAAAGATGCGCTCGTTACCTTGTAAGCACCAGGAAAGCTGACGGTCGACGGGGTCTTGGCCCCAGTTCCGCCGACGACGTTGATCTGGGCGCACTCCATGTACAGCTGAGCTCCTGGGTACGAGCTGGCGCCGTGCAGGGCAATCATCTCAGCTCGGAGAAGGTATTGGCCACTCGCAATGCACTTCGGGATAGTAATAGACTGGCGGCCTTGGTTGTTGATGACGTTTGAGGTACCCCAAACACCGTTGTTGTATCCATCCTCTTGAATCTTGAACCAGCCGTCACCGATACCGGTATCAGTCTTCGCGTCGCTGACCTTCCTCATGTAGGTGATGGTAGGTCCCAAGTGGCTAGCATCCATGACATCGTCAGCACCACTGGTCAAGGTGTGGCGCCAAATAGCAGTGACGGTTGATCCAGCGGTGACGTTGATCACCTTGTCGGTCGGGGTAGTCGGGTTCGGCGGGCCATTGCATGCGATGTACTGGGAGGTGACATCTGTCTGAGGGCCATCGTATGAAGGGGTTCGGATACCCTGGGACACTCCAGAGTTCACACCGTCAGCCTCCAAGGAGACGAAGATGGTGTGGGCCTGGGAGAGGCTGACCGCGGCGAGAAGGCTAAGGAACTTCATGATGGCTGGCTTCGGTGGTCTGATACAGACAACAAGTCGTCCTTCAGCAGATGAAAACCTGGTTCTTATATCTCAAGCCCCAGAGCTAGACGTTCCATGCCTACGCAGGACTGAAGGCCAGAGAGAACTAGGTTTGACGTAAAGACAGACTAACCTGCCATTTGCCCCCGGTGCATCAGCATCCGTTGCTCTGGGAGGAAGGTCGTTGCACTTCAGGAGTATTGTCGATGCCGGTAGTGGACGAAGTTGGCTTGGCGGGGCAGTCTCATCCGGCATTTAGATTGAGGTTTGTTGAAACCCCGCGAATCGTCTGGTGCCCGAGGTGCAGCTAACCATGGTTCGCCTGGCGGGGATCTCGCCATCCATGTCGCGCTCATCGAATCGCGTGTCCGAAAGCTTAGCGTTCAGACGACTAAATCAATTAGAAACGCGACTTGGTCGCAATAACGGCACCAGTTCCCGATTTTCCGCATGATATTTAGAGATGGGACCCTGCACACAAACGATGGTTCATGGAAACATACCCATTTGTAAGTATGTTAAAGATGCTCGACGCAGGATGAACGCTCCATACGCCCCTGGCCTCTTCAAGACAAGAAGAACTAAGTGCACCGTTGCATAATTGAGGGGCAGTCCCGGATGAGCATTGGAGCATCAGATAACGCTGGAGTCATTACACAAAATCGGTCGGTAGAATCTAAGTATATTACATGGTCATTCATATCGTCATAAAGTTCACGTATTCAACATCCTATCGTCGTCCAGATCCATGCGCGACGCGGTCAACAACCAGCCCGCCGACAGTGCTTCCCACGATGTGCTCCCAACTCTTGTGTGTCTTCTCATTGTTCTTTCCAGCGACGGCGTCAATAGCCCCGGCGCCTGCTGCAGCCGTCATCACTCTGGCAGTGCGATCCTTATCCTTTCTCGACAATCCAGCCTCGATGATACCGGCGCTAGCTGCGGCGATGGCAGCCTGACTCCAGTTTGGGCCTGCACTCGAGTGTCTTCTTTTGCTGCGACTGCTGTGATGATGGTGGTGATGATGCCTATGTCCGCGATCGTGTTCATAGTCTCGTGATCTCGGCCGGGAATGCGATGGCTTCTCATCATAGTAATACTCCCGAGGTCGGTGTCTGCCGGTCTCGTAGACTTCGATCTGCCCGCTGCGGTCAGGGTACTCGTAATGTCTTTGAGCGACACGCACGGCGCCAGCATCCCTTGTCGGGCTGTAGTCTGGCCGGTCGCTGGTGTAGTCTGAATATGTTGGAGAATGGTGCCTGTGGAGATGAGGCGGGTAATTGTCTCTGCATTCGCTTCGATGTGTCATCTTGGATTCGTTTGCTTGGGGTGAGTTGAGAAGTGGACTTCGAGGATGAAAGCGAGAAGGATCATCCAGATCAATTTTGGAATTAAGCTTATATACCCAGGTTCAGCTCGACTCGTCCGGAAGGGTCCTTGAAAGAGAACCCTACCAGAGCACACAGATTGCGGATCTTTGGAGGGACTGATCAATGTTGTTGCCACTTCAGCGTAGCTTCGCGGATTACTTTCTGATGTCAGGCCCTTGGCAACGTTGGAATTTCGCCCGGATGATGCTTTTGAACCAATGATCTGACTCAGATAACCAGTTCAAAAAGTGGTGGGGTAGATCATTCCCCCATGTAAAGCCGCAGGTGTTCGTCGTTTTTGACATGCATGACCCAATAAAATAACAGGTTTTTGAGTCTGAATAACTCCGGGGCAGCATGCTACTCGACCTCTTTAGAGTTTACTCTATGGTGATCCTGAGCTTTGCTGATTTTTGATTTGTTGAACAGCCTGACACAAAGTGAAATTTGGACTTGGAGACCTGGAGAGTTTGCGAGGACAATTCGAAGAGACCTGGCAACAATTGATCGCCGGACTTCTGGGAAAGCACCGGGCCCAATTGAAGCTAAGAAGCCAAGTTGCTGAGATAATCGAACATATAGGCAGGAAAGATGAAGTACATCAAAAAAAACTGGATCTTCTGGGCTTGATGTTCACATGGCCTAGCCATGACGTGAAAATGATGGGAATGTGTCGGAACAAACTCCGGTGGGTGGAGCCGACCGTGGACCCTAAGGGCATCGACTCCGCACCGAGCCGGCCGGATTACAGCGCCGAGACTTGCAGTCTGCAGGGCCTTTTGGAGCAGATTATAAACAATATTCGGAAAAGAATTCTCAAATTCTGTTTGATTACTACTTTGTACATAGCTGCATCCGACGCCGTGGCTGCCCTCTGGGCATACATGTGAGTTCCCATAGCGATGTCATCTGGCAGAAAGAAGAGAAGAAACATGATTGTTGGGAGACATGATGAGTAATTATGAGTCTTGTAAGAATCTAAGTTACAGATTTCATCTTATCGTAACATCGTGAGTCGCGTATCCCATCTGATTTGTATCTATCTCTATTGAGTTCCACCGACGATAGGATCCGCGTTGGTAATGGTACCTTCCTTCGTCGCCAGGAAGTCCGTTATTAGCTTCGATGGAGGTCCTTGTGAAGCGGCCGGGTTACTTCGGGTCGGAGCGAAGAACATCGTATTGCGGAACTCTTCAGCCAGTTGTTCAGACTCGGTGATGCTGAGACATTCTTCCAAGCGGGCGACATCTTGAGTATCGGTATCGCGAACATGGGCCGCCATGTCTACCCAGAGGCTCTTCAGTTGGGGCTCGAAGCTCGCATCGTCAACGGGGGTAGCTTTCAATTTGCAGATCTTTTCCTTCAGCTAGTGATCACTGGAGTTAGCGTCTGTTCGCCGTCGTGTTACCTCGTGGACAAGGGGGACGCTTACGCTCTTTCGGTCCGTGCAGTTCTTCTCACACCTCGAGCTGCCGTCGGCAAGACGAAGCTTCAGAGCGGGAAGAAGCACTTGTTCCTCGCTAACGCAATGTCTTGCAAGCTCGAGGGCAAGCTCATTTCTCCAACGAAGCTTATCCTCTTGTGTAGCTGCCGTGAGGATGTACCGGTATGCTTGCTCGATCCTGCGGTGATCTTGCTTGATAGCTTCGGACAGACGGGTCGGCATTTTGATCGTGATTTAGATGTGTGCCAACTCTATATGGTCTATGATTGAACGAATTCGGGTATGAGGGATGGTATTGCCAGTTTGGTTGAGCGTGTACAAGTATAGATAGAAACGAGGACCATGGGGTGATGGATGTTACTCAACTAGAGAAGGATCGTGATTATCTAGGCTGTAAGTATGTTTTCTTAAATAAAACCTGTCAGGAATGACGTTTGGGTACGCAAGATCGTGGCGCCGAGCTTCGCCTGACCCTAAC